AAGCTACACATCATGATCTTCCACGAGGATGCTAAGAACACACAATAGGGAAAAGTAAGTCCATTGGGAAGACTGGATATTCTTTTTTTTTTTTTAAGATTTATTTTATTTTTATTGGAAAGGCGGATATACAGAGAGGAGAGACAGAGAGGAAGAGAGGAAGATCTTCCGTCCGATGATTCACTCCCCAAGTGAGCGCAACGGCCAATGCTATGCCGATCCGAAGCCAGGAGCCTCTTCCGGGTCTCCCACACGGGTGCAGGGTCCCAAAGCTTTGGGCTGTCCTTGACTGCTCTCCCGGGCCACAAGCAGGGAGCTGGAAGGGAAGTGGGGCTGTCGGGATTAGAACCGGCGCCCATATGAGATCCCGGGCGTGCAAGGCAAGGACCTTAACTACTGCGCCACCGCACCGGGCCCAAAGACTGGATATTCTTACGGAAAAAAATCAAGCTGTACCCTGTCCTTACTTTGTACCATAAGGAAAAATCAACTTGAAATATATGAAAGATATAAATGTAAGGGGCTGGTGTTGGCACCGATCCTCCACATCCCAAATGGGCACCGGTTTGTGTCCTGGCTGTTCCACTTGCCATCCAATTCCTTGCTTATGATCTGGGAAAGTAACTGATGATAGCCCAAGTTCTTGTGACCCTGTACCCACAAGGGAGACCCAGAGGAAAGTTCTGGCTTTAGACTGGCTCAGCTCTGGCTGTTGTGGCCATTTGGGGATTGAACCAACAATTGGAAGATCTCTCTCAGTCTCTCCTTCTCTCTGTAAATCTGACTTTCAAATAAAAGTAAATCTATCTATCTATCTATCTATCTATCTATCTATCTATCTCTCTATCTATCTATCTATCAAACTATTACAGGAAAACAAAAAGAAAAGGTACCTGACATTGCTGACCTTTGTCTGAGGTTTTTATTTAAATTAAAAAAATTTTTTTTTGATTAGACCTCCAAAAGCATAGACAACAAAAGTAAAAACAGACAAACAGGATGGCCTCAGACAAAAAGCTTCTCTCCAGTGAAGCAAACAATGAACAGAGTGAGAGGCAACCTAGGGAATGAGAGAAGATATTTGCAAACTGTGCATCTGATAAGGGATTAATATTCAAGATAAAAGAAACTCCTGTAACTTAAGAACAAAAAAATTTAATGACCCTATACAAAAATGATCCTAGGAATTGAATAGATATGAGTGCAGCAGAAGACATGTGAAAATAAACAGCCAGCAGATTTATGAAAGATGCTCAGTGTCATGAATTAGTAGGGAAGTCACGGCCATGAGCTATCGCTGCACACCTGTTAGAATGATTATTACCAGAAAACCAAGAACTAAGCGTTGGTGAGAATGTAAAGACATTGGAGCACTTGTATGCTGTTGGTGGGACTGCAATTGCTACAGCCGTGGTGGAAGACAGTACTGAGAGTCTGTAAAAAATTAAAAATAGAACTACCATACTATCCAGCAATCGCACTTCTGGGCATTTACCTAAAAGAACTAAAAACAAAATCTCAAGGCCACATTAGCATTCCCAGGTTCACTACAGAACTATTAATAGCCAAGGAGCTGTGTTGTGATGTAGCAAGCTAAGCTTCTGCCTGCAATGCTGGCATCCCATATGGGCATTGGTTCCCAGTGATGGCTATTCCATTTCCAATCCAATTCCTTGCTAATGCACCTGGGAAAGCAGCAGAGGATGGTCCCCTGCACCCATGTGGGAGACCTGGTTTCAGTTTGACCCATCTCTGGCTGTTGTGGCCACACCTGCTGCCTTCCAGAATGTGCATTAGCAGGAAGCTGGACTGCAAGCAGAGTAGCTGGGATTCAAGTCAGGCGCTCTGAATTGGGGTATGAGTGTCCCAAGCATCAGACACCATCCTGGAGGAAAAAGAAAGAATTCTTGCCATATGCAACAGCATGAACGAAGCTGAGGCGAAGCTAGGCCCACAAACACTGCATGGTCCTGCTTTCATGGGGCCTCCTAGAGGCAGTTGAGGCAGGGGGAACAGGGAGAGGCTAATTGGAATTGTAACTGTTACCTGGGGAACCACCTCGGCAGAACTATACATGCTCGTGAACAGAACAGTACAAGGGCTTGTGGGCCAGCATCCTTCTGTATGTATGATGGCTGGCCAAAAAGGCATCAATTCCACAGAGCTGCAGCCAGGTTAGGGCCTGAGACCACCCTTGGGCAGCCCCTCCTGCTCTGTGGGCAGGACAGGGTGAGGAAGCAGCAGCACTCGTGCACAGGGCACCACCTAATCCTTCAGGAGGGAGCCAGCCATCTGGATGTTGGGCTTGGGGACCTGCAGAGAAGTGGCTCTCAGCTGGGCCAGAAGAAACGTCGGGGCCAGGAAGGAGGATGCTGAGGCCTGCGACTTAAGTAGCAGAGAGGAGGGCCAGTTCAAGGGGGCTGCAGGGTGGGAGGGAAAGTGCAGAGGCCTCCTTCTTCTCTTCTTCTGAATGAGATGCTGACTGCAATGGCAGTGGGTCTCGGTTTGACTTAGGTTTCCAAGGAATCAGACGCAGGGGAGCCTTGGGGCTGGAGGGAGGCAGCCTTTAGTGCCTTTGGCTCCAGAAATGTGCAGGAGTGGACCCCACCTGCTTTGAGAACTTGGTCAGCTCTGGTATGCGTGTATGTGATAAGGCAGTGGAAGCAACAACTGGCTCCAGGAATTTGGGGTTCTTCAGGGAGCTGGGAGAGGAATCAAGTTGGCATAGAGATAGATGAATCCCTCCCGGGCACCCCTCTGCACTCTAAGGTTTTCCTAAGGCCCTGTTCTCTCTGTGGAGAGAAAGAACCATGGGACAGGAGGTCAGGTGCTCCAGACCAGCGTGGCAGGGAGGGGCTGTGTGTCTTGTCAGTCATGGGCCATGGTCAGATGGGGATCTGTCCCAGAATCCCTTTATCTCTCTGGGATCTGCAGGCCCCACAATGAGTGCCCTGGGTTTTTCCTTCCATCTTTGGGCACAGCTGCCCTAGGTTGCTTAGCTTCCTCTCCACACCTCACTGCCCAACCTCCACATGCCCTTACAGAGTTGTGGGAGCCCCCTTGGCTGACAGAGCAGGTGAATTCTTCCCTGAGGCAGCAGAGCCAGGACTTAAACCCAGGCAAGTAGCAACCTGGTCCCAGGGATGCTGTGCTAGCTTGGGACAAGGGGCTCTGGCTACTTGCTTTACAGAATGGCTCATGCCACAGATGATGCATTTACTCTCCAAGTTCGCCGGGAGCACTAGATAGGTCTGTGGGTCTCACACAAGCATGCAGTTCGGAGAGGTGGGTGAAAGTAGGGGCTGTGTTTCTTGCCTTGGGACGCCGTCCGGATCTCACACCAGCTTGGAGGTGTGAAAAGTGTCTTAGCAGCTGGGTCAGTGCTCAGTAGCAGGTGACAGCAACACCAGGAGGTGTCTGGATCCCACAGAGGGATGTGTGGGGGCAATTCAGGTCAGCACCCCAGAATGGCACTTGGCCCTGTCCTGAAGTGAGGTGTCAGGAGTGCAGGGCGATACACACGAGGAGGGGACCCCAGGCTCCCTGCCTCCCATTATGAAAAGGATGCTGCTGGCACTCCTGGGCCTGCATCCTGAGCCAAGATCTCTGAGAGCATGGTGGAGACTGGCGTGGCCTCTGTGTGCACTGAGTGCCTGTGGGAGCCGCCATGCAGAATGGCAGTGATACATAGCCAGGGGAGGCCTGATCAGGTGCAATTAGCAGGCTGCTGTCCAGTTAATGATGCTTCTGTACCTGCCTTTTTTTGTATGCTGTGCCATCTTCCTCCCCTGAGCTCCTGGACCCCCCACAATCTCTGTCACCAAACCAGGACACTTCTCTGCCCTGACTCCTTGCTTCCCAGGAAGCTGTCCCTCCCTATGTCCCAGTATGACAGAAGGGTGGGAACTGGGGTTGGTCCAGGCTCCCACTGAAAAGTGGCTGCTGTAGTTGGTTCTTACCTTCTGGACCCTTCTCTGATGCCTCACACTCCTGCCCCATCTCCTACCCCCTGGGCTGCTCCTCTGCCTCCATGACTTCTTCTGCCGCTACTCTGATCTTTAGTAGAGTGAGTCTGTCAGACCCCGGGCATCCATTGACACACAGTTCACTTTGCCCTATGACTCCTTCTGGAAACTGCCACCAGACTCACCTCAGGACACAAGCTGGGGATGACAGAAGGTGACAGCAACATCAAGTGCTGAATCCCAGTTCTGCTTCTGAGGGCATTTCTCTGCCCGCACTGGACATTCCAGGCCTCAGTGCCATAAGCTGGTGGGTGGAGTTATGCCGTTCCTCCCTTCCTTGCCTCTCACATGAGCAAGTGCTATAAGGTCCAATGAAAACCACAGCTGGGCTCTTGGTCTCCCCTTCTCTGCCCGACACTGCTGTATTCTTAGCTGCTAGCCTTGCCCCGGACAGCAGCAACAGCCTCTGACCAACCTCTAAGCTTCTGTTCCTGTCCCTTGCAATTCTTTTATTTTATTGGAGAGGAAGAGCAACAGACAGAGCTTCCACCTGCTGGTATACTCTCCAAATGCCCCCAAACAGCATCCCTGGGCTAGGGTGAAGCTGAGACTCAAGCCAGGTGTCCTATACAGGCAGCAGCAACCCAGGTACAGAAGCATCACCTGCTACCTCCCAGGGTGCACCTTGGCAGAGAGCTGGGATCAGAAGAGGAAGACTCAAACCAAGTGCTCTGAAATGGGATGTGGGCATTCCCAGAGGCTTCTGAGCTACCTTGCCAGCACTCTTCTCTCCTTCCCTGAGTTGCCAGGGCGGTCCCCCAGAACATGGTTTGACATTCTCTTGCTTCCCCCAAGTGCCTTGGCTATCCAGCTTCACTTCTCAGTAATGTTTGGAAGCAGACAGATTCTTTGACTAAGCAGACATTCAATGGTCACCGGGTTCAACCCCATGATTCCATGGCTGCCTCCTGGAGCCACAGTGCTGCTTCTTCCCCCGCACTCACTAGCATGGCAGGTGCTGTGGGCATCTCTTACCTCCCTGAGGCAGGTGTAGATGGGGCACACGAGCACACGGAAGGGCTCGCCCGTGCTGCTGCGCATGGTACCAAACACCTCGCACAGGAATGTGATGAAGCCCAGCCAGCGCTCCACGTCTTGTTGCTGCAGCTCTTCACGTACCGTGAAGTCCTTCTGTGAAGGCACAAGAGACCCCGTCAACCTTGCCTGCCAGGCAGCAGGCTCCCCATGAGTGCCAGGGCCATCCAGCCCTCCTGCTATGGGCATTGGTGCTGTGGCTCTGCCTGCCCCCCACATCCCTCTCTGCTGGGCATTGCCATTCCTGAGCTGAGCTGGAGGCAGGTAGGGTCTCTCTCCATGTTCCTTTCCTACTCCCCCCACAGTCAGACCCTCTGCATCAGGAACCAAAACACCATCTGCTTGCACAGGGTCAGCCAAGGCCCATGTAGTGTCTGCATTGGGCTATAGGTATAAGCTAAAGCCCCTGTTCCCAGGGACCTCGAGGACAATGGGAAACTACAGGCATTCCTGCATGTGTTGGTTTATCCTTCTTCATTAGAAATCTCATTGCTTCCCATATGCCTGGCACTACATTAGGAGAGAGCTCAGAGGTAGACATTGTTACTACTTTTGTTTGTTTAAGATTTATCTAATTCATGTACTCAAAAGGTAGAGTGACAGGAAGGGAGAGACTAAAGAGATTTTTCATCTGCTAGGTTGTTCCCCGAAATGGCCAGTACAGCTAGGGCTAGGCCAGGCTGTAGCCAGGAATTCCTTTCAGGTCTCCCATGTGGGTGGCAGGGGCCCAAGGATTTCACTGCCTTTCCAGGCACACCAGCAGAGAGCTGGATCAAAAGTGGAGCATCTGGGACTCGAACTGTCACTCTGACATGGAATGCTATTGTGAGCAGACGCCCAGTGTGATGTGCCACCACTGGTCCTGGAGTGATTTTCACCTGGAGACCAGGGTCCTGGGAGAGGCTAGGATTCTGACATGGGCCTTTTGGGTGGGGAAAAAGACAAGGCATGCAGGTGCAGGAGGTGACATAGGTGGTGTTTAGAAAATAGGGAGCCTGACTACAGCAGGGCTAGGGTAGAGAGAAGCTGGGGGCTGGAGGGTGCTTGAGATGGTCAAAGGAGCTGGTCCCATGGGCAGGTCAGAGGGAAGAGTCTGAGGTGGGGTGAGGGTCACTCCCTACCCCTTTCCTCAGTCATGGCTATGTGCTTTGGAAAGGTGGTGGTGGCAGGGGTGTGTACACTAGGCAGGTGGCTGCTGCCAGCAGTCCTAGACAATGGGAAGACTGTCCGGCATGCTCAGGACCATGTGTGTGGATGGCTTTATTTACAGCATCCAGGCTCATCTTAGGGGCCAAACAGATAGTAAAATGGATCCTGCAAGGAAGCAAGTGGGCATTCTCTTCATCTTGCAGGCTCCAATGTGTGTTGTTGCTGTGGCCAGAGTAGCTATTCGGGTGTTTTTTTAAGCTGCAGAAGCAGAAATCAGAGTCCAAACTCATAGCTGTTCTCCAAATCTCTCTCCTCCATACTCTGGCCCGGGAGTTCACGCATAGCTGCTGACCTCACTCCCAGACACCCCGCACTGGTCCAGGCAGTGTCCACACTGCAGTGTGCCATCCGTGAGGCTCAGTTGTTGGAGTCCCACCCAAGGGCCTGAACCAGGGCAGGGTCCTTTCCAAGGACCCCTTGGGCTTCAGGAGGGACTAGCCCCTTTGCTGCCTTTGTGTCTTCTTGCTAGTGCTGAGCCTGGAGAGGGCTTGCCCCAGACAGTGGGCACCTGCGTGTTAATGGATGCTTCCTCTCTCATGAACCTTGGTTTCTCCCCCAGTATTCCTGTGTGATCAGAGTAAGGGCAGCCAGCACCACTTTCTGCTGGGGGTTGGGGGAGGGAAGGGGAAATGAGGCATAGAGTGAGCAGAAACTGGAACAGGGGAACACACAGTACTAGACCTGAGTTCTCTCCCTGCTCTGGCTAAAGGTGCTTGGCTGTGGCACACACTAGAGTCACCTAGAGGAAGCTGCCAGGCACTGCTGCTTATGCCCTACTCCAGAGTCTCATGCAATTGGCCAGAACACTGGGACATGTTAATAGCCCCCCTGTGTATCTCAGTAAGGACTGAGCACTGTAACTCTAGGCCTTTCTAAGGTGCCAACTTGGGGTGTTCAAACGGTGCTCTTCCATCAGTGCCCATCTTCTGTCTCCCATAAAAGTTTTCATGGAGGCACGCAGAGAAGGGGGAGGGCAGTTCACCAGCAGACTCCTTGCCAGCCTTGGAGCCAACACCATTGGCTAAAGGATCCTCCCCAAGACACTGGCTGCCCAGGGTACTGTAGCCCCTTGGCTCTGGGAGATCAAAGTGTCAACCCCTCCCTCTGTGTGGCCTTGCGTGGTAGACAAGGAGTCTGGATGAGCCAAGCCCTGTGCTTGTGTATTTGGGCAGCACTCTGTAGCACCACCTTGACTGCTGATCTTGGAGATCCAGGGCTGGGCTGGGGACAGAAGGAAATGGGGAAGGACGGAGTCCTTTGAGGGGGCAGTACTTCCAGGCAAATCCTGAGGGGCAGTGTGTGCTGGGAACTAGAGGTTTTAAAATGGCTGAATGGGCCTGGCATGATGGCCCAGGGGCTAAATCTTGACCTTGCAAGTACTGGAACCCCTTAGGGGTGCCGGTTCTTATCCCGGCTGCTCTATTTCTCATCCAGCTCCATGCTTGTGTCCTGGGAAAGCAGTTGAGGATGGCCCAAAGCCTTGGGGTCCTGCACCCACATGGGAGACCTGGAAGAAGTTCCTGGCTCCTGGCTTTGGATTGGCTCATCTCCAGCTATTGCAACCACTTGGGAAGTGAAACAGCAGATAAAAGATCTTTCTCTCAGTCTCTCCTTCTCTCTGTAAATCTGACTTTCCATTGCAAATAAATAAATCTTAAAATAAAAAGACTAGGATTTGATCAAAGAATCATAGCTCAACTTATTTCCCTGCATGATATAAGAAAGGACTGTTTGGCTTAGCAAGTTCGCTAGGAGATGATATGCCTGCTGATGATTGGAAACTACATTTGAGATGAGTGTACAAAGAACCTACCCACTGGCTTTAAGTCCGAAAGGGAGACTCTTTTCATGACCTTGGCAGATGCTGGCAATGCCATGGGTGAGCCACACCCATGAAGACCAAGTGGGGCCTTCCTGGTTCAAGAGCAAGGGAGGAGAAAAGCATTACTTTGGCAACAGGCAGGCCTTGCCCATCAGCTCAGGGCGAGGGTAATTTGGAGACTTCTAGAAATGCACACTGGAAAAGTTAACAACAGACCCTAAGGATGTAAAAATAGCCCCAAGCACCAAGCATGAGGGCCTATAGGTCCTAAGAAGGATGGCCATGTAGATTCTGTGATGACACTCCAAGGAAGCGGTCAAGATGAGCTAAGATTGCCTCAGGTGGATAGGAAGTGTTGGATGAGGCTGGGGGATGGGAAGGAATCAGGCAAAACTGGATATCCAACAGTGAAAGGAACACACAGCACAGGTAGCGATGCGGGCAGAGACTGTAGAAGGAGGGACATGAAAAACACCCACAGAACGCACTGATGAATACCAGAAAAGAGGGATATGACGTGTAATCTATGCACCATGGAGCTAAGGGGGTTTTCAGGAGGACACCAGTCCTGGGTCTTCACACAGCTAGAGCGAGGAGGAAATTCGGAAATTCTGATATTCTATAACATGGTATGGTGACAATAGTCATTTATATTTATTGTATATTTCAAAATGACTAAACACAAGTACTTTGATTTTCCAATAGAAAGAAGTGATAAATGACTGAGTTTCTACGTCAACAGCAGCAGCAATAACACAATCTTTTTTTTTTTTTTTTAAGAACTCTTCAGGTACAAGGGTTATACTTTGCAAGACAGTTTCCTTTTGATAATTTTGAGGAAAAGGGAAAATTCTAAAAATAGCTTGAATGAAGGGGGAAAAATAAATCCAGGATCGTTACAAAGAAAGGAAAGTCTGGATGGCTTATGTTTTCTTGGTTAATGGTAGCATTGGGAGACTACCGCAGCCACCCCACGGGTACGAGAGGGAAGAGAACCTGCCTGCCTGGGATTGAAAGGGAAAGATCTAAGCTGCACTGGTGTTTAAAAGAGGTCTCCCCTACCTGCTTAGCTTCAAAAAATTAGTGCTGCAGCTGCTACATGAAAACAGTATAGAAAATCTTCAAAGACTCAAAAACTGGAACTGTCATCTGATTCAGCAGTTCTACCACTGGGCGCATATTCAAAAGATTGCTAGCAGGCATCTCAAGGAGAAAGCTGCACACCCAAGTTCATGTAGCATCCATGACAGGAGCTGAGAAGCGGGAGATGAGTGGAAAGACAAAACAGATTGTGTGCATCTGAGGGTAGATTATCCAGCCTTCCGGGAGGAAGTCTGCCAGAGTGTTCGGAGTCACTGAAAGGGAGAGTGAGACAGGGCTCCCAGTGGGTGGGCAGTAGGGGACACGCGGGGTTGTTCAATGGACGAACAGCTTCGGTTTTGCAAGACGGAAAGGCAGCAGAGACTGCGCAGTTAGCGCTACTCAACTGTTTCCTTAGACACGGATAAAATGGGAAATTTGACATTAATTTTTTTCCCTTACCACAATTAAAAATGATTAAAAAATGTAAAGGGTTTTTTTGGGATTAAGTCCCAGCCAGCAAAAATTAGGAGTTCATTGAGCAAATCATGATCTAAAGAAGAACCAGAAGGAGAAAATGAAACTGAAGGCAGCCTCATGAAGTCAAAATTCAAAAAAAAAAAAAATCATCTTGTTGATAAGATTGAATTAAAAGCCAGGCCTAATCCCTGAAAGAGAAGATATTTGATTCCTAAATGTAATTAAAATGATACTTTCCTGGCAGTAATGATTTTATCAACCAAAATGAAAGTTCCTGAGACTGGTAAAGTCTAGTAGGGAGAGAAGACAGTGAAACACCCAGAATTCCCTAACAGTAAGACATACAAAGCCACACAGGTCATTGCTTCTTTTTGATTAGTAATCAGAGAAATGGAAGTTAGAGCACTGTCTTTCAAATGTTCAAAGTAAATACAAGTAACCACAGCAGAACTGAAGACAGAAAGAAAGAAATGCATGGGCAAAAACAACTTCGGACAAGCCAAGA